ATTTGTATACAACGTGAGTGGTAACGCTCTATAAGATTTCATGTAGGAGGCTTTCCTTGCGAGCTCAGACATCTCTTACATAACCAGAATAAAGTTATACAGGGAGAAAGTTTTTAGAGAAACTGTGGTGTTGCGTCGGTGGGAGAGTATAGCAGGTACTTTAGTGTTAACAACTGAGTTGAAAACGTAAATTAGCCACCGTAAAGGGTAAAAAAGCTAAACTCCCTGAAAAAGGTTAAGGTATTTTAAAAGGTTTTTTTAAGCAAATTTTTCTCTTAACGGAGTTTACAGCGTTTCATTTTAAGATAGCTCAAAACAGATTGCCCTTTTTCGAGAAAAGTTCTTCAAATTATTTCTCAAAACAGTTTGGCTCTTCGAAATAAGTATAGTAGTAAACTATACCACTAGTATAAAATTCGGCACAGAAATAAAAGAAACACCATAACATCATTTTCCCCCAGATAATTTAAAAATACAATGCATGTGCACTACAATAAACCTTATTCAAACATGGTGAGGTTTAAAGCTGCAAGCTTGTGGGAACGTGTAGAAAATAAAGTAAACAAAAAAAAGAAAAAAAAATTGTCACCATGGAAACCATAGGACACATCCAGTCGTGCCTCCAAAATCGAAAACTAAATCAGTATTATGGTGGGACGGGAAAATATTTAGCTCGAAGTCATGACGTACGGACCGAACGCAACGAGGTCCGTGTCTCATGATCGAGAGCCAAATATTTTCCCGTCCGGCCCGGACACACTCAGCTACACGAGCACAAAAAAGAAATTCTGAAATTTAAACTTTTCCTTTACTTTTTTTTCAGAGGGCACGGTAACGAATCCTGCAGTCTGATTGGTTCTTTACCCGGTCTGTATTTTCTTATCTCTGCCCACGGGCCACGGTGACGCCTTCGTGAATCGCTGAGTACATCCCAAATTTCGTTGCCATTTTTATAAATATATCTCGCTTTTCCGTCTGGGTAGTATTTTTAGGCAGACACGTCGGTCACTACCTCAAGCCGATAAATAACTTATGAATCCTCTCTTTTCTCTCTCTCAAATCACTTTGGTTGACAGAAAAATATTGGTTTCAGAATGAATTTGTATAAGCAATAGTGTCATTACGTTGGTTGACAAGCGGCATAAAAACCGTCAGCAGTTAATTTTAATCGTTCACAAAAAGTACCTAAAAAATTAAAACGTGAGGTATTTGATTACAGTTAAACTGAACGGTGGAATTTTCATTCATTTAATATCTGAATTTTCTCAAACAATTTGTTCGTAGCGAAAGAGCGAGCGAAGTTTTACATTCAGTTCTACAACAAATATACGCTCTCTGTGAGTCTTTCCGGGTCCGTTCAATTTGGACATTTGTACCGTAAATTGCACAACAGAAACTGAAGGAATTTATTGAGAGAATGGCGCATTAAATCCCCTTGGAGTGTGCCATTCGAATTTAGTTTTTGTGGAGGAAAGACCAGATTTACACACGACATTGCAGCAAACAAATGAGCAAACTCGCACAACTACAAAATTTAAGAATTTGTTCATGCTGAGCGTGCGTATATCGAGTTATGGATACACGCGGGAAGTTTGGAGAGCACGAAAAATGCGTAAGAGTAGCTCGAGGCGCAGCCAAGAGCAACTCTAGCTTTTTGAGTGCTCTCCAAACTTCCCAAGTGCATCCATAACTCAACTGATATACGCACAGCTAAAAGCATGAGCAAATTCTTTTATAACAGAGTAACAACAAGAATCTGCGCGAAGAAACCTTTTATTGTGATAGAGTGCAATTGCGATTGTTCTGGTTTTGGTAAATTTCCAATTAACTGTGTATTTTATTCCCCAGGTTGAACAAATTTAAAAACGACAGTAAAAAACGGAACTTTTACCTTTGAATGTCGTTTATGACCAATTGGTGACTATTTTTTATTCCCAGTGAATGTCTGTCTTTCGGCCAAAATTTGCTCCAGCTGGTCTTACGACAAATTTGCGAAACGTGCAACTTGGGAGTTTTTTCCGGCTTTATTTCTGTTGCTTGTTGGATCAAGACCCAAACGGTCAATGCCGATAGAAAAATTGGCCAGTTCTTCTCTGGTTTCTTCCATATTTCAAAGAGAAGGAAAACTGCACCGCAGCTTAACAGGATGGAAACTCTGAAGCCAGGTTAAAAAAAATGCTCACGTCATCTTATTTACGCACGGGCGTGCGTAAATAAGGATTTTGTTCATAGCGGCTCAATAGGACTAAAATAGGGCAAGCACCGGCGCTGTTATGGAAAAAATTTGAATTTACTCACAATTACCTTCCTCGCCGTTTACTTAATGATCAGAGGTAAATCTTGGTACATGAATGAATGGTCGACGACAGTGAATAATACTTTCCCTTAGGTCATTGAATGTTTTTGAAGGAAACATTGTCGTGACAGTCCTTGCCAAACTAGTTCCGTTGTTTTTCAAATCTTCTTGCGCTTTTCTTTTCTTACGCGCTCTCTAATTGACAGGTGTCAGACAGTGACAGATACTGGTAAAAATAATGTTTCAAAGTTTGTTTGGAAGCCTTTTAAATCACCTTTATCATTACGCAAATGAAAATGTTTCGGTAAGGCATCTCTCTTTAATTTGCATCACCTCTTTTTTAACTACCATTTACTCGTTAAAAAATTGTTCAGTTTATGGAAGATCTTGCCGTATTTACAGCCCTAAATCATTCGGGTTCTTTCGGAAAGAATTTCGTCAAGTTAAAAAAAAAATAAGTTATTTACCGGCTAAGGGTTGATCCGTATGGTGAAAAACTGTGACCTCGGTCTTGAAAATGCTGCATGTACATCAAGACCTCGATCATAGTTTTTCACCGTACGAACCTTCCGGCCGGCAAACTGACATTTATTTATTTTTTCAAGTCATAACAAGAAACTCCCAATTTCTTGAAAAACGGCTTTTTCCTGACCGGCTTAAGTCAACCCGTCCGGCCCTGTACACGTCAGCTTTAACTGTGGTTTTCTAGGGGATTAGGCGTGCGGGGCCAGACGGGTCATACGATAATTACGAATATGCCTCAACTGCACGCGCGAGATTTGTATCACAAGTTGCCGGTTTTCATTGTCACGCCCTCATCAAAACGTACAACAAATAAAGTCAAGAATCAAAAAGACATAAACATAGCCGTCTTCAGCGGACTTATAATCATCTATATGAGTACTTATTCTCATACTAGGACTGTTCAGATCGCGAAATCTAAGCGGATGTCACTTTTTTTTAAACCTACGTGACAGCATTCTTGGCCGCCATTTTAATGTCGCTTCGCGCCAAAGCTTAGAAATTCAATCTTGCTTTCTCACAAGACGAAAAACCCTAACAAGCTGGAAATTTGTAAAAAGTAAGTCTTCAACAGTTCTTATAACTAACCGAACTAAAATCTCAAAGGGATTGATAATTCCTTATTTTCTAATTTTGAAGACGTGACGTGAAAACCAGATAAAGCGCGCTCGCGACTGAAACTATTCCTAGCCTTCAGCGTGGCATCCCCTCAGGACAGCCATCGATAATGGAGTGGGTTAATAATAACAATAGCAATCTTTCATCAGGAAAATTTCATTACATCACTGTGCTTTTCAGAAAGGTCCTAGGAGACTTGGCAAGAGACTTGGGAACCCCTTTAGAAGACGACCTAAATATGAAGGACTAAGCCGACTAGACAAAGCATCCCATTTACTTCACGACCTTACTGAACAATTCAGTGATAAGCGTACCAATTACCGCCGATACCAGAACCTAAACAAAGGAAATTAATTAATTAACCGCACAACGGAAATGTTGACCTTTAAAAGCTAATCATACTCTCGTTGTAATCTGAGGTTAATTGAGCAGCTTATACTATAAAGAAGGAAAATTGTAACTGTGACAGGCCGTCATCGAAGATCTCATATTCGGTAAAATGCCTCATCAAAAGGGATTGATAATTTCTTATTTTCTAATTTTGATGACGTCACGTGACTGAAACTCTTTCGAGCCTTTAGCGTGGTGTCCCCTCCGTGAATATGTCATTATTACAAAGGACAGACATCAATAATGGAGCAGGTTTAGGTAAGAGACTAAGGAACCCCTTAACGTGACGACCTAAATATGAAGGACTAAGCCGACTAGACAAAGCATCCCATTAAATTCACGACCTTAATGAAGATTTCAATAATAAGGGTACCGATTACCGCCAATACCAGAACCTAAACAAAGGAAATTAATTTATTAACCGCACAACGGAAATATTGACCTTTAAAAATCACACCGTTGTCATCAGAGGTTATTTGAGCAGCTTACACTGACAAGGAAACTTTATTACGACAGACCGTGATCGAAAATCCTTTAGTCCGTAACAATGTCTCATCAAAAGACCGAAGTGGTTTCCAAGTCCAACGAATTAACTTTTCTGAGGACAGTGGATTTGGAATGCTGTATTTGGTGAGTTGAATATCATTGCTGGCTGTCATATTTTGCCATCGTTTTTGTTACCGCTCATTTCCAGTGCTATTATACCGCCACATTCCTTTTCAGTTATAGCATCGTGTCAAGGCCCGTTACCCTTGCCTGTGGGCACTCTGGCTGCAAAAATTGCATGGAAACTTGGGCAGAATCGACAGCCACACCGTTGTGTCCCCAGTGTCGGGCAACGTTCCGAAAAGAAGAGCTGAGGTTAAATGTGGCAATGGATAAGGCGACCCGAGATTTGCCTGTTAAATGTAACAGCCAAGGCTGCCAGTGGAAGGGCAACTATAGCGATGCCAACGATCACCTCAGACATTGCCCAAAAGTACGAGAGAGGTGCCCCAACGAAGGATGCCAGCACGTGGCGGCACGGGAAGAAATGACAACACACGCTTGCCCAAAAGAAAGGATCGCATGTTCAGGATGCCAACTGAGCGTAACCAGGGAAAGACTCCAATTCCACCGTACATCTTTATGCAGAAACTCTGCAGTTCTATGCCCCTTGATGATGTGGAGCATCATTACCACGGTATGTTGTATTAATTAGGATAATTCAGCATTGCGATATTTTGGTGTTAGGCGATTGTCATAAGTGAAGTATTTTTCGGTAATTTTTAGCATGAATTGCAGTATTGCTGTATTCTCTTATCATTTCAATCGTCAATAGCAGGTGACAAACTTATCCTTCTGTTATCCAAATCGAGGACTACGAGCAGTCCTAACTTGTGTCTGGTGCCACGCGATCAGCTGCATTCCTTAAAAATAACTGACAGAGAGGAATTAAATTTCATAAGCAAGAAACGATTTGAGAAACAGAAATAATGCCTATTTTTCAGTGGGGATCTAAGAGAGGGGCCTAGTGATACTTCCAATTACTTTAAGTCCCCCTGACCACCGCTCTCCCCAAAGCCCCAAAGTTTATATCAAGGTCAATTAATCTACAGAGCCAATTGGCGTGACCCTTGAGGTGTCATGTTTTTCCCACTTTTTTTTTTTTTATCAAACCGCTGTTGGAATATATGATACCAGTCAAAATGGAAGATCTAGAACTAACACATACCTCTTTTTGAATTGTAGAATGAACATCAACCTACATCTACACAAATGCCCAGAGAAGGCTTCAATGTGCCAAGTACCTGGCTGCAAAAAAATTGTGAAAAAGAAGGACATGAATGTCCATTTGAAGGAAGCAAGTACCTCGCATTTTGCGCTCCAATCAGGAGAAACCAAACGACTGCGAGGAATAATATACTACAAGGTAAGCTGCCTTTTCACCAACCTAAAAATCAATAAAACATGCACTCTTTTAAATGCCAAAACCAGCGAAGTAAGTGGAAAAAAGGATGGCAACTGTTGCATTTACCTTCAAAATCTTACATTGAAAATCTTTTTCTGGTGCATTTCATAATATCCATAAAATCCATTTCTGTTTCAGAAATGCAACATAGAACCCATAGAGCCCAAAGTGGAAAGGGTTGTCTCCTTTTGCTGGAGAATTCCAAATTTTGTGGAGAGCAGGAGACAACAAGCTTCAGATGCCATTGGAGACAAGCCCCTTACAAGTGGGCCATTTATAGATGACAACTGCAGATGGAGAGGACTGTACTCCGGACAACAAAAATTGTTCCTGCAGCTGCTCTCAGCATCCCATCCAGTTACTGGGGAAATTCAGTAAGAACTTTAATTATTTCATGCAGAGTGTTTGTGAGTGCACTTAAAGGAAAATGCTACCTTTGCCTTCTTTCATGTCCCAAGAGTGACCAACACTATTTTCCTCACAAATCGAATTATACTAAACCAGGAGAAAAGGTTATGAGAATTTGTTCATAGATTTTCAAAGGGAAATTGATATTATGTTTGGAAAAAAATCACCTTTATAACTAAGGGGGCTTTAGAAGAAATGATGCATAACACTAAAATTTGCTGTCTATGTGTTGCATGAAAAAAACATTTCATTGTACCTATTTGTGTATGACTGTGACAGAACTTGCTAACTGCTGTGTTCAAACCGTGCTCGATAGAATACGTGGCAAACCGAGCTCGATAAAAATAACTGAGGTCGATAAGAGCAGATTGAGTTCGTCGAGCTCGTCTTTTTAATCGAGCACGATATAGTTGAAGAACCAAACCCAATAAACACCTGCTTAAAAAATGATTGAGCATACCCTTTGCTGTTATTACCTTGGTATATTTAGATGCAGAGGACAATAATAGTAAATACTTTCAGTGTTTGCAACTTAACAGTCTTGCTATTTATCACATTACAAAGCAATACTCTACATGTATATAAGAAGTAAGATTAACTAGATCTTAGTGAATCTAAGTTCTTAAGCTTTTTGTACAGAACATAGAAGATTACTACATGTATGTTTATAGCACTCATCCTCTCTACTATTTCCTCTTTCTCTTGCAGGGATTGTCCAATACTTCTTCAAGCACTCTATAACTATCCGTTCCCCAACTGGTGAAAATGTGAACCTACCTTACACCCTGGCTTGTGTTCATTGGTACAAAGCTCACCCTCATGCAAGGTTTTACTTTGGTTTACCAATTCAAGCATGCCTGCCATCATTTGAAGTTGAGTCAGTGGCAGCTTTTATTCCAGTAATGAGGATTGATAGTATAAGTTACATGTATGAATATTAAAGGCAATTAAGTGGTAATCGTTATGATATCAGCCAAGCTCAGGTCTGGCAGGACCCTTTTATTTGCGCTTTCCTGTATTAATTGTTTGTAGGGATGAAAAGAAACGTAAGACTTATTACCACAGTAGTAAATAGGTGCCAGTATAGCGTCAGACCAATCAGAATCGAGTATTTTGGTCACGTGGTACAAATGGACCAATCAGAAAGCAGTATTTTCACATTCCATTCTGATGACGTATCTAAAACCGCGTGGGCGCCTGAGAACGAGTTCGTGGTTAAGGAGAGGTGCGTGTAAGTGTCAATGGGTTAACCCATTGACACCTGAACCGCCCGTAACCGCTCGTAACCTCCCGTAACCGCTCGTAACCTCCCGTAACCGCTCGTAACCTCCCGTAACCGCTCGTAACCTCCCGTAACCGCTCGTAACCTCCCGTAACCGCCACTAAACTCGTCCTCAGGCGCCCACTCGGTTTTAGACGCGTCATCAGAATAGAATGTGAAAATACGGCTTTCTGATTGGTCCATTTGTACCACGTGACCAAAATACTCGATTCTGATTGGTCTGACGCTATACCGGCACCTATTTACTACTTACCACGTCGGTTCATTCGCTCATTGAGAGATAAATGCTAACTTCATGTTACTTATCTTTACAGTGCCTTCATCCATACAAGCAATAGGCAACAAGATGGTCACGGAAGGTGACAATGTGACTCTGATGTGTAGTGCATCCGGAATACCTCCTCCAGTGGTGTCTTGGATGAAGCCTGATGGTCACCGTCACAGTGGATACATGCTGAATGTTGTAAACATTAACAGGAGTCAAGCTGGCGAATACAAATGTGAAGTCAGTAATGAATGTGGCAATGCAACAGAGACATCAACAATTGATGTGCAGTGTAAGTTTGTGGATAGATTATTGCATTTATTGTCGTTACTTTGACCTTGTAATCTTAATTGGCATACTTTAACATTACTTCTTCCGAAATCTTACATCATTTGACCTGAATCTGAATTGGAGATAAAACCCCTTACAATCTTGTGAATTTTTGTTTAATTTTTGCCTTTTAAAGATGCATCAAGAATTACTAACATTTCTGGTGAGCAGATCGTGAATAATGGTGGTGTGGTGAGTTTGTTTTGTTTAGCGGAAGGTAATCCAAAGCCAATGATAACTTGGACAAAAGTTGCTGATAACAGTCGAGTGAACTTCCCTTTGACCATCCGTGGTAGTCAGGATGAAGGACTGTACAGATGTACAGCTGAGAATGGTGTTGGAAGCCCTGTAACTAAGTTTGTCAACATGACAGTGCGTTGTGAGTGTTGAAGTTTATGGCTTCTTTTCCACATATATCCCAGTATCCTAAGTAGATTTTTCACACTTGTGGAAAAAATTCTCAGGAGTGCGGATCGTCGTTTATTTGTGTTATAAATTTTTTTTAATTTACGTGTGTATCAAAGGTCATCCGTCTTCTGATTCTGGTCCCTCTTAAAAAAAATTTTAAGAAAAGAGTCCAAATTAAAGACGATGAAGAGGCGAAATGCCAGTGATGATGGAGAGCGCGGAAACAAGAAATTGCGTGAGCAAGCTGTGTGCAAGTTGTCTTCATCTCAAGAATCTTCATCCACACAGTCCGTAAAGGACATTTTGCGACGCAGGATTGAACAGAAGGGGGTGCAACGAAATGAAGAGCGTTTTTCTAGATCGCAAGATAATACTACTCTTTCGAATTGAGCTTCGATCTTGTCAAATCTTGGTTATTTTTGTGAAGTGCGGTCGATAATTGCCGCATGCGGCAAAATTCACGGTGCCTATTCTTGCTTTGATTATTGAACAGTCAAGGGTCAGGTTCATCTTCACTAGAACTTTCCTCGGAACTGCTGCTTCCCAAGCTTAAAACGGCAGAGAACGCCGGAAACCACAACGGACACAAAAGATGTGAATAGATTCTATTGATTTAACGTATAAAATGTTCATATTTCGAAATGTTTATCGTTCTTCATGCTAGTCCTTATAACTCAACGGTTCCTCCCGTAAGTTAACACCGAGTTTCACAACATGTGATGCTTTCATGAATATATCGTTTGCTTTTTATCGAGACCTGAGCTTGGGACGCCTTTGTTCACACGAATCTGCACTCGAACTATCGCAAGAAGCCTTGCTTCTCTCTGCTGTTTTTCTTTCAATATATTAACGAGTAAATTTAGAAATTAACCAGGCGCTAATCTTTATTGGTCGATGTGCTCTCATGGTGAGTCCTAATTCGCGGTAAATTCAAACTAAAATTAGACTTGCCTGTGAAAACGCCGTGATAAAAATACAGGGCAGTTGAAGGCTCCAAGTGATGGGCTCCTGCCTACAATAGGTATTGGTTCAGACTGATACCTTAGTTTTGACACAGCAATTTTCAGTTGAGTGTCGGAGGCAACTTGGGATTGGTTTGGTTTTACGTAACTCATCTCTCTGATTGGTCCAGAAAACTTGCGCCATCCTCTCAGCCAATCAGATGCAAATCTAAAAACCAATCGCGACTTGGTCATTCGCGTTTTCCCGCACCTCAGGAAGTTTGCTTGTTTTCAATTCGTGTTCTCATTGGCTAATGATGTTATCCTTGTTGGTCGCTTTGATATTTTTTTTCGGTTTTTCGACACTGGGTTGAAAAGTGCTCCTAAGTAGCAAAAACACTGAGTACTTTTTTGCCAGTTTGGAGGCTCATTTAGCCTCCTCGTGTGGGGATCAAAACTTTTGTTGCTAATTAAAAGTATATACATGCATGTCTTTAAGTAGTGTTCTGGGCCCAGTTTTATATAGGTCGGATAACGATATCGAACGGATAAATCGCTATCCAACGGATAAGTGATAGCAAAACGTACTACACTATCCACCAAACAGAAATTTATCCAGCGGATAGCGTTATCCAGCCTTCCAACAACCGGGGCCTGGTAAGAGTCACAGATACATGTATGTCTTGGTATGTTTGTGCGGCACAATTGTGGGCAACAGTCAAATCACCACTTACCTAGAGTATAATGGAAATCCAAAGCATATCCAACCTCAAATCTTGAACAGTGCTGGTACAGGTAGGAACTAATTCAGAGAGGGTTTACGTATTGGAGCTTAGAAAGGCTATGAGAAATAGTCCTATAATTTCTTGATATATATGTAGGTTGTCTGGTGTATGATTTATGCCAAAACCGCCTTTTTTACCAGAGGACTGCTAACTTTTAGTCTTTTTAATGTGTCTTATAGTTCCTGCCGCAATTATGGCCCTGGGAGAACACACTGTCGTTAAGGGTGGAACTATCCAACTTTATTGTAATGTGTCTGGAACGCCGCCACCTACTATTTTATGGACTCATGTAAAATCAGGCAAAACATGGAACCAGAAAAAATAGAGTATTGAAGATATCCAAGTAGAGAAACTTGGAGAATACAGGTGTAACGCCAGCAACAAATATGGAGGAGAAATAAAAAGTACCTTTATCTTTTATGAGGGTGAGTGCGTCCAGTTTATACGGGCGATGCCTTTATAATCGAATTCAAAGAAGTTGTCGGCTGGTATTGCTAAGTTACTAGTGAATTTATCTTTGCTGTGAAATCATTTGGAACCTGATTGGCCCGAACCAGCCATGGGGAGTGCTGGTCCCTAAGTGCAATATAAATGCGATGAGATCAAAGCTCTAATAGATTAAAAATATCATATGTATAATGGAGACATTCCGGAGAAATGGTTCTTCCAAACTCCGTCAAAATTTTGAAAAACAGATTACAGCTCTACACTGCTTCTTAAATTGAAAAGAGTTTATTTTCTCTGATTTTTCAGTATTGTTTTGTTTTGTATTTTGTTTGAGTAAAATTAGGATCTTTAACTCCCCTATAATTGCAACGGTCACCATATAGCCTAAGCTTATTTAGAACATGAAAATGTAAATCTTTCGTGATTTTTAACTCTCATTCTTTATTGGTGGTCTTTGTGAGAAACCGTGTACTGCTGGAAAATCTTGTCGCAAGTTTGGAGAAACATTCATCTGTATCTGTCCTCCAGGAAAAACAGGAGCAAACTGTCAGGAGACATGTTGGAACGACATTTAAAGTTTTACCAGAAGAAAAGTCACTCTAGTTGCATTTGATTCATTTTTACTATACTCCCAGCCTTATATTAAGTGCTCATACAGTTGAAATATACTATCCTTTTACTGAAATATTTGTTTTACACGCTGCTGTTCACATCTATTTAGTGATACCTTGCATTAAGATCTTTGTCTTAGAAACTTGTGTTTACCTGAGGTAAGCCACATAGACAGATAGCATGATCATTCAAACTTGATGCTGATCTCTAATGAATCATCCTTTAACACTCTAAAGCAAAGAAATATATTTAGCCATGTACACATGCATTGAAAGTTGATCTTTTCCCCTAATGAATAAGCCTCTGACCTTTCAAGGGAAAAACCTGCATCTAGCCATGCACACATATATTTAAATTTTGTATATTTGGCTTCTATGCGACAACATGCACAATGGAAAACCAAATAACCTTTTTGTTTTCATTTACCTAAGTGGCGGTATTTCGGCAAATGTTCTTTTGATCTGTCTGCTGCGCAAAAGTACATCTAGCTTTGCGATAAACTGAAGGTGTTCGATCTTTTATCCTACTTTGACGTGTTATTTTTTACTAGGTAAGTTGTAAAGTACGTGCAGTTTCGCTTTTTGTAGCGTTCATACTTCTCTTGCTACTAACAGAGGAACCCCAGAAAAACCTTGTTATGGTACTAAAACTCAAGAGAGAGTTCAAACAAGTATACGAGAACTTGGAAAATCCACAGACAAAAATGCTTGTCCGAGGTATTGAAGAAAATGTGAGTGCTCTGGTAATAATAACTATAATTAACTTTAGGTTAGTATTGTAATATATAACGGAAAGCAAGAATTATTTTGTAAGTGAGCCCATTGCTTATCGTAATTTAAAAGAAATTTAGTAAGGGTGCACGTAAGCACCAGGCGACTGCAAGGCCCTATCCAATTTCTACACTGGCACCTTTTCATTCAAAAGATAGCGAAGTGTATTATTTTTCATTAAGAAATTATCGTTTATTTTATAAGGATAAGAATTTATTTCGTATGAAGCGCTGCGCTCCTAATGTCGTTGTAAAACATCAGATTGGGGCATAAATGTCTCCTTGTCAGTACCAAAGAAAATAGAAAACAATGTGGATAATAGGTGTGCTAATGAAAAGGTGGGAAGGGTGTAAGAAATCTCGAGGTCCATTGATCGTCTATAACCACCCTCCTCCTCCTCCCCCACTTTTACATTATGCAGTGTTCTTCCTTTTCCTGGCACAAAGCTTATCACAGTTGAAACATATATTGTAGTTATTGAATCAAATTTATAATTTAAAGCAAAAGAAGGAAACGAAATTTCAATTTATTATAAAATTGGGAAAGTGCACGAGTTATTTAATTTGTTTTATTCTGTCTTTTTTTTGTGTCAGACGATGGAAGAATTAAAAGGCACTAGTCTCGCGAGCGTAAAGGTCCTCGAACTAAGGTAAAAGATTTTTTTAGTCATTAGTTATTTTGTGTCTGAGCATTCAGCTCAGGCTACAAGGGGCCAATATAACATGCCTTCTTTAATTGTAGGCAATCAGTTGTTTTGGCTGAGTATGGAATCTTAAAGCACTGAGCTGTTTTATTTTACTAAAAACTAGGAAGAGTGCTTAAATACTAATGAACACGTTCTAAGATAAAAATATCGAAATTTGGCCGATGAAAGAAGGCGATTAAACTGCAGCGCCTAAAGCCCCTCGGCTGCGGTGTTTTCACATTACTATTCAACTGATTGTCTTTTCAACTTAAAACGTTTCATTTCTTGTTTATCTTGTAGGCCCGGAAGTATCATTACTGACTTGGAATTAACGTTTAACTATTCTGTCGGTCAAAGTAATTTAAATGCATTGCTGGCACAGGCAGTGAATGATGGAAAACTTGGCAGTATGGAAGTTGAGTAGGCGGTCGTTCGAAAAGCTTTTTCAGGTTAGTTGTTTTTCATAGATCATAGTCAACACCTTACAAGATGTCAATGAAGGTGTTAACAATCTCTTGGTAAAGTTCTTACACGATCTTTGTTAAAATCTAACAAGATATCAACAAAGATCTTTCAAGATTTCAGTTGAGATCTTACAAGATCTTAGAAAGATCATCAAAAAAAAAACTTACATGATTTTAGGGAAAAATCTTTCAAGATCTTGTTAAAAATCTTGCAGGACGTTAGGAAAGATCTTAAACGATTTACAAGATTTTGGTAGCGCCATTGTAAGATATTGGGAAAAGGTCTCAAAAGATTTCGGTGAATTTGTACTAAGATATTACAAGATCTTAGTAAAAATCTTATAAGATTTACGTAGCGATCTTGCAAGATCTTGGTAAAGATCATACAAGATTTGGGAAAATCATTACAAAATCTCAGTTGAGATATCGATGTTACATGATCTTAGTAAAGATCTTAGAAGATTTTGGCGAAGATCATACAAGATCTAAGGAAAAGTTTTACAAGATCTTAGTAAAGATCTTGCAATTTCTTGGTAAAGATCTTACAAGATCTTACTGTAGGTCTTACACGACCTAAGTAAGGATCTTTCAAGATCTTAGGAAGGATCTTACAAGATCTCAGTAAAGAACTTAGAAGATCTCGAGGAAGATGTAACAATATCTTAGTAAAGATCTTACAAGATCCATGTAAATATCTTACAAGATCTCGAGGAAGATGTAACAAGGTTTTGCTAAAGATCTTAGCAGATCTTTGTTAAATCTTACAAGATCTTAGTGAAGCTCTTATAAGATCTGGATGAAGATGTAACAAGACTTTGGTAAAGATCTTACAAGATCATTGCAAATTTCGTACAAGATCTAAGTGGCGATTTTACAAGATCTTCGGAAAGATATGTTCTAAAAGATCTAAAGTAAACATTTAACAAGATCCTACAAGATTTCGATGAAGATGTGTTGATGTTTTGGTAAACATCTTAGCAGATCTTTGTAAAATCTTACAAGATCTCGATGAAGATGTAACAAGGTTTTGCTAAAGTGAAGCTCTCATAAGATCTCGATGAAGATGTAACAAGGTTTTGGCGAAAAATCATAGATGATCTTTGTAAAATCTTACAAGATCTTGGTAAACATCTTCCAAGATCTCGATAAAGATGAAACAAGGTTTGTTCCGTTCCGTAAAGTTCTTAGAGGATCTCTACGAAAACTTGTATAAATTTAGCTCAACTTGTGATTGATGAGAGCTTTTAGAAAGGGCTTATTCGTTCGACATAAATTATGTTGAACGAATGAGAATATTTTTAGCAAATAACACTACTATCCTTAAAATGCACAAAGCGGCTGAATATAAATATTGGATATTGCAGTGAGAATATCAGAATGTCTTTGAATGATAACAAAATTATTCATAAAAATTCAAATTTCTTCGATTGAAATTGGTTTATGAAACTCATATCTTCCACTAATTCACTTGCCACGTTGCTATCGGATAGTTTGTTATCGTGCAGTTTAATCAACCAATCATAAGCATTCAGCAACTTACGCCTCTCTTGTCTTATGGCTATAATGACAAAGCAACTTTCGGAAATGAAGGAGGAATTGTGATGAAGTGTTTTGATTGAGAATTGGATCGGTCTCTTTAATGAACGAAGGCATTCGCATCTTAGTCAGTGTTAACGATCGTAATCGTTTACAAAGCAGTGGATTCAAGTGTGAAAGTATTTAGTAAGTACAGACTTGAACGATTTGCAGTTCTTTAAAAACTTCTGGCTGGTGAACTTCAAATTGAAATAAGGATATTTAAGAACGCAATTCGATGTTGGAACATACGTGCCAAAAGTACACTTCAGACAATGAAAATACCAATTTTCAACCCTGGTTATACTACTGCGTTAGCTCTGTGGTAGTTCAAAAAATCATCATTTCTGTGGAATTTTCTCAATAACTAAAAAGCTATACAGGAAAACAAGCTTGTTTAAATGTTTGATATAATAGATTTTACCTGACACGATTATAATTGAATAAAGACATTGAATCGTGAAATATGGTGATTTAGGGCTGGAAAAGGAATTACCCTCCCTACATTTGATTAACAATTAAGTCCTCGAACAGAGTGGTAGCTGGCAGCAATAAGTATTTCTAATCAGATATTCCTTTGTGATCAAATTGTAAATATTTAGTGATTTTTCACCTCCTTTCCATACTTCTTCAGAATGATACTTTTCCCATAAAAAAGAGTCTTTCATTGATTTCAGTGACCTTTTTCCATGGCAAATTTTGCATGCACTTAAATTTTTCTATTTGAACTCTATGTGCGTTTCACATAGATTTTATATGGTAATTTCACAACCTTGGCTTGTTTCTGCTTGTGTAAACACTAACATTTGAGCAGCTATTTTCAGTCGAATGTAAATTTGTTCAGATATATTTCTTTCGTATGGTTCTGAAATAAATTTCTGTCCTTATCGTTGATTGCATCATGTAGAGCAGGGGCGGATCCAGGAGTTTCTAACAGGGGAGGGTTCAAACTTTGACTGAGAAAACACTGCAAAAACTTTTCTGGGCAGTTTTATTCTCCCCGCAACTCCGTCACTCTCCCCAACAACCAACAAACCCCAACCCATCACCCCAACTCCCCCACTCGCCGTTACACATTGTAACCAATTTAACAGCAGTATTCTTAGCCCCCTTACCGTGGGGGGACGTGGATTTTACCCGTAAAGGATACACCTCTGGAACATCCTTCTCTTGTGCTTGGCTACAAAGTGCTGTGCAGATATCGTCAATGTCAATTTTTTAGGTCACGGTGCAAGTCTATGAGTGCAAGTCCTGACAACCGCTCCTCAGACATCCCATTAAAGACTTTACGATCCAGAACGCAACGTTTGCTGAAACGTCATTGGAAGTAATTTGCTCACAAAGTGCTCCACTGCGCATGCTTGACGCTTAACCACAACGCATCTTCTTCACGTTCAGAACACGAGGTTTGCACTTGCAAAGTTTCCAGAAAACGTGAAAAGTTTCTGGCGTATTTGACCTACAATTCAATTTACTTTTTTCTACCTTATAGGCGAGGTGTAACGCCTCAGACAGAGAGAGAAAAGATGTGCTCTGGACTTGAAGCCATGAGGAAACTCAAGCTTTATATCCACGTCATCAAATTGCTGGAATGCGTCACTATAATTAAGTGCTGATTTATAATTATGAAACTGCTTGATCGATATTGGGTTGCGTGTGCATTGATTATGAAAGAGTTTACCGAAAAAAGCTATCGTAGCTAGAAAAAAAATTCATGAACAATTAACCAAGGGTCTTGTCTATCTTTCTTAGTAGCTCTCCTCATCCAAATATCGGAGGACGGAAAATGGCAGGATTACAGAATCCCTAAACTATGGCACGTGAGCGTTGCCCTGTAAGGCTTTGAATCCATTTATCTTTTTTTTATGAATTGTTTTACGAAGTTTTGCATATTTTTTTCTTCGACTCGATTACTCTCAATAAGTGAGGATGGTATTTCCTACCTTGATAAAACATATACTACTGACCAACGTTTCTTCAGCTTTATTAGAATAGTGGTTCTCATCAACTTTATTACTCTTAAGCAATGAGAATGGTATTCCTCGCCCACGAAAAAAAAAGAAAATTGTTAGTCCATTGATCTTTTATACCTCCTATTGATACTTTTTATCAGTGACACCGAGTTCTTTGGCGCACTTTGCCCACCTTTTTTGCTTCTGAGGCTTTGAAGAGTGTATTTTGAGGACTTTTAAAATTCCTAACGCCAAAACGCAAAGTTACAAGATAATGGAAGATTACTGGCAAGAGAATCCTGCTTATCTGTTGGCCAAGCTTTGAAAATCTTAAAAATGAAAAAGAAAAACCTTGAAAATCTGAAGAAAATGAATAATTTTGCCAGCGAATGTGGACACTAAAATCCTGTTTGAAACGATCACTTTAAATGTTTTTTTTTAGAGATTAATAATCTGTTACGATCACTTTACACTTATATATAAATGAATGTGGGGTAGAGTCTACCTTGGCATAAAGTGCTTAATGCTGTCGTAGCAGAGCTAAGTATACATAAGTTAAAGAATTAAAGAGGACGCATCGATTCTCTGTGACTCTGAGTTTCACGCCTAAGCGCTCGTCAGACAGAACTTTATTCAATGAACAAATTAGATAGGTAGCTAATTAATTCACTAGTGTGATGATCTAGTCTACGTGCGAAATAAAGATTCTATAGAGCTATTGTTGTGAAATTTGCTACGTAAAACTTATTCTTAAAACCTAAAAGACCACAAAGATAACAAATTCGCCAACCACCCTACATGCCGCCTCATAAATCCCGCAAAAAGTGAACTCAGAAAAGTCAGTGAACAAATCCTCGACAATATCAACTCGAAAACCAGAGAAATGACAAAGCTCAACCAGTGGAAAAACACATCAGATGTATGGTGATTTTAGATATATGAAAATTCATATATTTGCACTGCGGTGGAGAGATGAAGACGAGTAGTTGTAAATAGGACCTGAAAAAAATTCAGGCCCGTACGGGCTACAAAACTACTCGTTTCAGTAGTGTTCTTAGCTGCGAGGATCTCTTAATTTCACATCAGATGTAATTAATTGGTTCACCAACATACCCGACATGGAAAAGCATTCGTTTGCCTTGTTCGACATCGACAGTTTTTATCCATCCATCACAGAATCTCTACTCTCTAAAACAATTTCATTTGCCAAGAATTATACCACAATCAACGACAAAGACATCGACATAATTATGCACCGCCGGAAATCACTTTTATTTGACAACGAGACCGCCTGGAGCAAGAAAAACCACAGCAGCTTGTTTGACGTAAGCTTCGACGGAGCGGAAGTTTGTGAGCTCATAGGACTTTTCCTCCTGAACAATCTCAGCGAGAAATACGGCAAAAACAACGTAGGACTCTAGAGAGACGACGGG